CCCTTACTATTGAGAACGTTGAAGGGGAGCCAGCACAGGGAATACACTGGTCACCACGCCAGGTCATCCGGATCATCTAAAAAAGGGTAAGAGAGAAGAAAAGATAAGTATTGTGAAGTTACGACTGCCTTAAGTGCTTTTACTGCCGTAACTTCTCGTAAAGACACATATAAACAGATTTAGAGATACGTGTATACGCGAGCAAATGTACACACACACACACACAAAATTACAGACACACACAGTCCACAGATACACACACACAAGACACACGGATACCGACATACACAAATACAGACACACACATCCACAGATACACACACACACACACATGCACATATACCCACAAACACACACACACATACAAATCAATAAACGCAAGCACAGACACAAACAAACACGCACGAACACACACAAAGACGATGATGATACACAGGTCTTTCAAAACACGTTCATGAGTCCCATCCTCAGGACATGAGCCTCCTCAAGAACAGGAAGGAAAGGGCAATGCCAAACTTGTCAACATCATCAGCGCCAATATCCAGTGTCAAGAATGCTGTCGTGAAAGAGATGAAACAAAAATTACGTTCATTTCAAAACGCGTCTAGACATGCTCTTATTGTGATTATTATCATTATTTTCATGATCATCATTTTCAGCTTCTTTATTCCATTATTGTTATCATCCTTTTCACGTTCACATATTCGACTCAAAATTGTGGATCCTACTTCCATTATTATAACCTGTTGAGGATTTCATCATCCTAAGTTCTAGTTATGACGCTGAGATGAGAGAAGAGAGAGAGAGAGAGATGAGAGAGAGAGAGAGAGAGAGAGAGAGAGAGAGAGAGAGAGAGAGAGAGAGAGAGAGAGGATGAGATAGAGAGAGAGAGAGAGAGAGAGAGAACACGAGAGAGGAAGAAAGAGAGAAAGAGAGAGAGAGAGAGAGAGAGAAGAGAGAGAGAAGCCTAGAGAGGAGAGAAAGGAGAGTTAGAGAGAGAGAGAGAGACAACCTAGAGCGTTGCACATTGCAAACATGCAAGCTCAATCAACCGTATTGTCGGACTGCAGAATTATCACCATTGTGGTTCAACGCCTCTGCTAAAGCTCATGCAGTCTGTGTAGATTCTACGTAGAGTTCGGTCTCGCAACGCCGATGTTAAAAGCTTGGCATGTTATTCGGTAAATATATGCTGATGGCTAGAAGAACGTAAAATATAGAGGCATATTACGAATAAAACATCACATTATACCGTCGCTATTCCTGGCGATTTACAGCCGCGGGGGAAGAGTTATTATTTTGTGTAGTTACCCACGGGAGGCGGTGAAGCTATAATGATACGAATAGGAAGGTATAATCGAATGATACCTTGTTGCATTTCAAAAATACATTGAACGCTTAAAAGAATATATATGAAATTATTAAGGCTCGTGAAGGTTTAAAGTGGCTTCGAGTTTTTATTGTCATCTATAATACATACATGCATACACTAATTAGTGTATGTTATAGCTCCGTATAGTAATAACTGGTAAGATAGAGGATGTATCAGGGCGAAGAGTTAAGAGGAGAGAGACAGAGAGAGAGAGGAGGAGAGACGAGAGACGAGAGAGAGAGATGAGAGAGGAGGAGAGAGAGAGAGAGAGAGAGAGAGAGAGAGAGAGCGAACGAACGTGCCATAGCGAGCGAGTGTGAAGAACGAGAGAGAGAGAGCAGAAAAGGGGGGGGGGGTCAAAATCATGATTCTGTTAAAATACTCAGCGCTAATTTGCTGTGTCCCAGAAAAAAAGAAAAACAGCATCAATAACAACAGCGGGACCAGTAACACGACAATGCTTGGTCATCTGCCCTTCGGTATTATCAGCTGCACCACACACACAGACACACACCACACACACACACACACACACACACACACACACATATCAGCCCTATCTATCAATCTATCCTTCCATCTAACCGTCTATCTACCTATCCAACCAGTATTTAATCATCAATTTGTTCAGAAACGTTTCTTTACCGAATCATGTCCGTATCGTTTTTTTATAATTATTATTTTTTTATTAGTTTTCTTTATTTCTTATTTTTTGTTTTTTTCAGAAACTTTTATCTCACAATATTTTGTCTGCAAGGCCTTTTATATTTACTTTTTTCCCAGAAACGTTTCTATCACAGTTTCTTTCACGCTTCAACAGCCCCTTGAGAATAAGGCTTGATGGCAAAAACGTTGTACTTGTATGGACAACTCTGTCTGCAAACCATGATATATAAGAAAGACCTTTGTTTGCAAAAGACATCACAGTTATTAATTCCCATCATATAGATCTGACGCGGTGAACATTTTGAAAAAAAGGTAGCAAATAATTTTTTAAAAAGCCACCTTAATATTTTTCTTCCTCCCCAAATTCCCAGTTACAAGCAGACAACATTTTGGATCAATCCAGGCACAAGAACGTGTTATATCGGCTCTAATTGTGATATACAGCGGTGACTGTCATTACGG